TGAGGATCATGGCTTCAGTCTGAGCTCACCCTGGAAAGGTGAAGCTGTCCCTGATGGGCGTTTGAGATCCTTCAGAGGCTCAGGACTTGCATGGAACAGGGAGTTAGCTGGGCTGTGCGAGTGTTTTGGGGCATCTGTGTTGAGTCAGCTCCATTCCCCAGCTCGGACTCTTAATCACACCTCTGCTCACTTCCAGGCTGGTGGCCCAGGAGATGGCCCGGGTGCACACCATCCACGCCAACGGGAGCCTCCCCAAACCCATCCTCTGGCAGAAGCTGCACAAATACCTCACCCTTGTGAAGATGGACCTCAGCCCAAAGGTACCCAACCCCAGGTAAAGGCAGAGGGATCCCAAAGAGCCAGGCTCTGGCTTGGGCACCCACTGCCCACCCATCTGTAGGTCTTCCTCCTATGGGACGTGGGTCTCCAGGTAAAGCCTCTGCTGGAGTCTGGGCTCTGTGAGCAGGGGTTTGGGGAGTGCTGGCCACCTGTGGTTTGTGGTTCCTCCGTGAACAAGGTTGTGGACAAACCCCTGAGAGCTTGGGGTGCTCATGGGATGGAGGCACCCCCAGCTGCCTGCTGTGCTATGGTTGCACAGCACCTGGGCAGCATCTGACCTGAACCACAGACACCCATGTGCTGTGATCACCCTCCCTGTGAATCTCGCCTGTGTTTTATGCCATCGTTAGAAAAAGATGGAACCCAAAGCCCTTCTTACAGTGGGATCTGAGCAGCAGGGTTCTGTTATCACTGCTGGAAGGGATGCTGGCAGCCCAGCCCCATTTCAAAGCGCTTCATCCCATTGCTGGGAGGGCGATGCCATGCTGGGAGCCCAGGTTCGTGTCAGGTGAGTGAGGGCACATCAGCCCTCTGTGGAAGGGTGCAGGCAGCCCCCAGAGGTGGAGGAGGTGAACGAACCCCAAATCAAGCAAATAATTAACCCTGTCCCTGGGATGGGATGCAGGGCTGTTCCCAGTGCTTTACCCAACGCTGCACCGTACATACAGCCAGTGTGGTAATTATTAACGTGCTCCATTCTTGGAACAGCTGCAGAGGTTACTGAGTATGGGGCCTGGAGGATTCAAAGAATTCCCATCACCTTTGGGTTGGTCTTAGAGATGAAGGGAATGGCTGAGGCCGTGCCAGGTGCCCTGGGGACCACGGAGGATGCACCAAGTACCGAAGCTGAGCTTCCCTGCCAATAACTGCTCTGTGTCACTAATGAACTCATTTATAACATGCACAGAGGGAAGTGGGGGCAACGCTTCCCCTCTGCTCCTATGGGAGATCCCTGTGAGCAGAAGTGATTCCTCCCCTTCCCCTTCCCCAGCCTCCACCAGGACGTGCCCAGCCTGGAGATGCTGGAACATGAGCTGGCCTGGATGAAGGACACACTCTCACAGCTGGGCTCCCCCGTCGTGCTGTGCCACAATGACCTGCTCTGCAAGAACATCATCTACAACAGAGCTCAAGGTCAGTGGCAGCAGCAGAGGGGTCACTTTGTTCCCCTCTCTCCGGTGCTGATGGCTCCAGCCCCAACCCATTGCTTTGCTTTGCAGAGCACGTCCGTTTCATCGACTACGAGTACACTGGCTACAACTACCAGGCTTTTGACATTGGGAACCACTTCAATGAGTTTGCAGGTGAGCTGGCTCCTCTCCGTGGCTCTGAAGCTCCCCCTGGGTTGGGGCAGCTCCCCACTATCTCCCAATCCTCGAGGAATGAAGGAGAGAGCTGCATCTGGACGCAGTTCCTTGAGTGATGTGCAAAGCAGCGTCTCTGCTTGCCCTGATCCCCTGGTTGAGGTGTGATGCCTGCAAGAACTCGGCTCTATGAACCACGTGGGTGCCTCAAATCAGAGGGCTGAACACTCTGTGCAAGCCCAGAGCTGCAGTTGTTTCACTCACATGGGGAGAACACTTCGGCCACATCAGTGTGCCCTGAAAGAGCCGCCCTGTGGCCACCTAAAGCCCCTCTCCTCTTGCAGGTGTGAAGGAGGTGGATTACCGCCTGTACCCCAGCAAGGAGACCCAGCTGCAGTGGCTGCACTCCTACCTGCAGGCCTACAAGCAGCTCACCCAAGGGGGGCAGGGAGGCAACGGGGTCACCGTGTCCGAGAAGGAGCTGGAGGCTCTCTATGTGCAAGTGAACAAGTTTTCTTTGGTGAGTGCTGGAGGTGGGAGGTGGGAAGGAGCTGACTTGATCCCTGTGTTCTCCTTTTCACTCGCAGGCTTCAGGTGCTGCTGGGGGCTGACCCACAGAGCCTGGCTATGCTCAGAGCTGCTGAGCTCCAGGGAAAGGTCACAGATAGTGCTGGGTGAGGACGCTGAGATTGCAGAGTCCCAGTTGGCAACCTGAGCAGCTTGCTTTTGCCAGGAACGTTTACAAAAATGATTTTCAGAGAAGGCTGAAGCAGAGGTCTGACAGCTGAACTGCAGCCCTTTGAACTGAGGCAGGGAGTTGTGTGCTGGGACATCTGTGCTCTGCCCTCATGCCTTCCAGCAGAGCTGTTTGCTGCAGCAGGGACCTATCCCAGCATGGCCAAATCTCATGTTGGCTGTGGGGTCAGGAGAGATTTCCAGCAGCAAAGCTGTACCCTGAGCACTCTGCACTGCTGCTCAGCATCCTTCCTCACCTGGGCTGCCATCCACCTTTGGAGCTTATAGAAATCCACGCTTGGGCTGTGCTGCTTCTGATCCCTGTTCTGTCTGTTGCAGGCATCCCATTTCCTCTGGGCATGCTGGGGCCTGATCCAGGATAAATACTCTACCATAGACTTTAACTTCTTAAGGTGAGTCCGTGCTGAGCTCTGCAGAGCTGAGGGGGCCAATGTCCAAAGTGCTCAATACTGGATGGATCCCAAAACCCAGGCTGGGTGCATGTCTCACGTCCATCCCTCTTTTGGCAGATATGCAAAGCTAAGGTTTAGGCAGTACTTCAAGATGAAGCCGGTGGTCACAGCCCTGCAGATCTCCAAATAGCGGCTCTGGCCCTTGGGACCCTGAGTTATTTTGTCCTTGCTGCATCCACAGCCCTGGCACCTCCCTCGCCTCCTCCCCGCCCAGGGGTGAGGGCAGGTCCCGACGGTGGGAAGGGGGAAGAGGAGCTTTACCCCAGCCACCGATTAAAGGAGACCCTGGACATACCCAAGACTGGACCATGAGATGCTCGAGAGGACCACAGAGAGGTCCCTGCCTACACAAGGACATCTCACCACCGCCTTACAGCGAGCCCGGCTCAGCCCTGCTGCCCGGCAGCCCTGTGTCCTGCTGGCATTGCTACTGCTGGGCCTGGCACTGGGAGGAAATGGGACCCCCCTCATCCATCCATTCAGCACTGAGCACTGCTGGGTTGCTTTAGCTGCCCCGTGCTCACACTGTGCCTACTGGCTTCACTGTTCCCTCTGTCCTCTCTGCCCTGCCTGCTCAGTACTCTCGCCCCTCAAAACCACCCTCCGTAGGTCTGTGTTCACCCCAGAGCTGGGGACCCTTTTCCAAGTGGGACGGGTGCTGCTGCCATCCGGCTCCAGGCTGAGCCATAGCACTGCAAGGCAGCGAAGGCAGCATCCTCAGCAGTGCTTCAAGCACTGCTCTGTGCTCAACCTGGGGCTGCTTCTCCCCACAGCCCCATCAGCTTCACTTGCAGCATCCCACAGCGCAGCAGGGGGGCTCCCAGCCCTGTCACCCCCCACGTGCCCCAGTAATGGGGGGCTCAGTGCAGCCACGGGTATGGAGTGTGGCTGCCCTATCCCTGCACTCTTCCCCCCATCGGTGCAGCCAGGCCCACACGAGATGCCCTGGCAGGAGATGGATGGAGCCGTGCTGTCCCTAGAAGTGGGCACAGCTTTGTCCTCAGCTGGCATTTGGCTGCTGTCCCCTCTGCAAGGATGAGCCCACCCCACTGAGCACTGCCCAGCTCATGACAGCAGTGGTACATCAGGTAGGGGCTGGGGGACACGGTCACTTGCCTTGGCTGCTTGGCACATGCCAAGGGACAAAGCATCTGCCCCCTCTGCCAGGGCACAGGAACCTAACCCAGCAAAAACCTGTGACTTTTGTTGCATCTGGTGTTTGTTTTGGTGCACAATAAAAGCTGCTGGTAGCTGGAAATTGGGGGCCAATGGATCTGTGGTGCCTGGTTCAGGACTTGGGCTGGTGCAGGAGCTGAGGGGGCCTCTCATCACAGGGTGTGCTGCTGCTGGTTCCCCCTGGCAAAGCAGTGTCCCTGCTCCAGGCAGGGCACTGTGGAACATTTGGCTGCAGGAAGTAGTGGGCAGAGGAGGCTGAGCCCCAAATGTGGGGATGAGGCAGGTAAGAAGGGAGGGGAGGGCAGGGGAAAGAGCAATGGACCAGCACAGAGAAAGCATCGTATGGAGAAGGAAGAGGGGTGGGAAGGGGGAAGGAAGCCCCCAGATCTCTACACTGGAAGCCTGGATCCCAATCCCTTGGGTTGGTCAGACTCAGCCCCGAGCTCAGTTCCAAAACATCATCTTTATTGTGCCAAGGGGTGGGGAGGGCAGTTTGTAAACAAGTATGTGAAATATACAGGTTAAGTTACTCGTCTTATTAACAAAATAAAGCTCTATCTATATTTACAGTCTTAAAAAAAAAAAAAAGAAAAAAAAAAAGAGAGAGGAAGAGCTGCTCCTTCGGTGCGCGGCCGCATCCAGCCCCCAGCCTGAGCTGTGCCTTGGGGGGAATAAATAAAGCACTGAGAAAAAGGGAAGAGAGAAGGGGGTGGGCAAAGAGAAAGGACCCCCACCGGCTGCTGTGGCCCTGGAGTGAGAGGGAGCAGCAGCCCCTAGCAGAGGTGTGATGCACGCAGCACGGCTGCTGCTCCCAGCGCTGCATGCACAGCCGGTGCTGCACCTGCATGCAAACCCTGCGCTGGGTGCACGGGTGCTGAGCAGAGCCAGATATTATTGTTTTTTTTTCTTTTTCCCTTTAAATCGCTATTTTTTCCTCTCCCCCCACTCCGTCTGCCCCCGCCCCCCCCCCTTCTGCTGTTTCCATGATGCACAGAGGTGAAGCCTTGCGCTCGCAGAGCTGTGAGCACCTGGGGATGCATGGACCCACAGCAGTGCTGTGCACCAGGGCTGCCCGAGGGCTGGGGCACAGCCAGGGAACAGCACCCGCTTTATTTACAAAGTGGGACAGAGCATCGGGAGCATAAAGGGCTCCTCAGTGCCCTCGGCTTGCACTCGGGTCAGGCAAGAGCTAAAAAAAGGCTCCATGGGAATTCACTGGCAGGCTGCAAGGGGGAACTGCAGTGGAGTGGGGAGGGCTGGGCTGAGCAGAGCTTACGGATGCCCCCATGGCCAGGCATCAGCAGGTGGCATAGGTAGGGAATAGAGAGCTGGAAGATTCCCATATCCCATTTCCCCCAGGTCCTTACTGGGGGCTGCAGGGTTCCTGAGCCATCAGCTCTCAGCCAAGCTGCAGAGCCCCATTCCCTACAGCAGCAACGGCACCGCCACGTACCCAAACCCCCCACCATCACCCACTCATCTCATCTCATCCCTGTGGCTGCTGGCTCTTTGCCCGCACCGCATCGGGGGTCACCAGCGCCTGGTGCCAGCCAGCCCCGCTGCCCCCCCGCCCGGCCCTTCAGTCTGTCAGCACCACCAGCTCTCCATCGCTCTTCTCCTCTCCCTCCGAGTCCTCCTCCTCGCTGTAGCGATACATCTCACCATCCGCCACCGAGTGCCCATCGTCCCCTCCGCCGTCACCTTCCTTCAGGCTACGAGCGCTGACGATGACGGGCATGCTGGGATCCACGCCACGGGGCAGGTAATGCTCCATCAGCGGGGACGGCAGCTGCATGCCCACCGGCCGAGGGTACAGCACATCCGAGGAGCCGGGGGGCAGCTGGCTGCCTTGGGGACTGCGGGATAAGGGGGAGGGGAGGGGGGGGGATGCCATCAGCTGGACGGGAGCGGGGCGAGCCCCTCGCTGCCCCCAGGGCATCCCTCTGTGTTACCCTATCAAATAGCCCTGCCGGGCATCCTGCCGCCGGTTCCTCATCAGCGCTTTGTATTCCCCCACGCGCAGCCGTTTCCCCTCCACGATGCACGTGCGTTTGGGTCGGGGTTTGTACTTATAGTCGGGATATTTCTCCAAGTGCTGTCGGCTCAGTCGGGCTTGTTCCTCGTAGTAAGGCTGCTTCTCCTGGTTTGTCATCGACTTCCAGCGGGAGCCTGGGCACAGAGGAGCCACAGGGTGTGCTTAGCCACTGCCACACTGCAGCTTCCCCATGGAGATCCGTGTGCACGACCCCATGGCAAGAGGGGATTCACGCTCATGGGGGCTGGATTTAGATCATGTTTAAGGTTCCTTCTAAGCCAAGCCATTCTGTGGTTCTAGGAATGTTCACATGCTGCTCTATGCACACTACACTTGCAGCAGTGCGACGCATCCCCAGACTGCGGGGCCCTCAAGTGTGATAGGAGCCAGAGTTGGGGTTGGTGGCACCCCTGGGATCCCTGCCATGCATGGTCCCCAGCCCTGACCTTCTGGGGCACCTCTCCAAATAGATGCTGTGACTGCTATAGGCTGTTCTGGTGTGTGACTCGGATTCCCCCAGTGGCTGACCTGCATTGTCACTTCTACCTGCACCCAAGCTAGGAGGGGAAAGGGGAGCACAGCACAAGGCTGCTGACTGGGGAGGGGAGGGATGGGATCAGGGGCTACAGCCAGACCCATGTCCGGGTCTGGGGAGTGATGGTCACGCTGGAAGGATCACATAATTGCATCATGGGGCGAATCTGGGATGGCTCAGCCCAAGAGAAAGTGCAGGGGCTTTAACTGCAGTTTCCACTGCTTAAAGGGCATATGGGGAAGAGTGAGCCCAGCTCTCCTCACAGGCGCACCTTGAAGGACAAGAGGCAGCAGATGAAAGGCAATTTACAGCTGGGCATGAGGAAATAATTCATCCTGCTGGGAGTGGGGCAGCCCTGGGAGAAAGTCCATGAGGGGAGTGGGATCTTCACCCTTAGAGATGCTCGGAGCCAACAAGAGAGCCTTGAGCATCCTCATCTGAGGATGATGCTAGCAATGCTTATGGCCTCAGACTTCCAGAGTCCTTGTCCCCACTCCCTAAACCCTCCCTCAGGTCTCCATCCCCTAGAGCTCATCTCCTTCCCCTGTTCCACCAGTTGGGCATTCTGAGTAAATCGAGGCACGGAGCCACACGCACCCCACATCCTCCCCCTCGTGCTCAGCCCCTCGTGCTGCCTGAGCCCCAGCAGCCACACAGGAGAGCACACAGCAACCAAAACTCCAAGCCTCGGGTGAGCACCGGTCCCAGCCCCCTTGGCTGCAGATTAAATTTGCCCCAGTGAACAGCGAGCAGCTCCGGCTTCCCATGCAGAACTGCGCCAGCTATTTAAAGCCACGGACATTGAATGTGACAGCAACCAGAACACCACACGCGTCTGCTCCCAGACCCCTCTCTGACCCCCAGCGGTTGCAAGCAGATCCTGCCTGCGTGCTCTTTCAAAGGGAGAAGCCCAGAGGTTGTTTCGGTTCTTTTTTAACGAGCGGAGCTGCTAAAACGAGGCGGCGGCCGAGCGAAGCGTGTGAGCCTTCAGATGGGCTACTGGGAGACCACACCGATTTCTTTTAATAGCTGGGGTGAAACAGGCTGCCCCAGGGCTGGGGTGACAGCAAGCTGCTGGTGGGGAGCTGGGGGACAGGGCTGGAGGATGCTGCCAGCTAAATGAGGATGGTGCAATCTCGTCCTGCTGGGGATACAGCAGCATGGGGTGCAGAGAGCATTGCAGGGGTGTAAAGGGGTGGCAAGTAAAGAGCTGCACTTGGTGGAGGATAGCAATGAAACAGTGCTGGGCTCTGGATCCTGGCATAGGGGGGCATTTGCCCCAAAGATCCTCGCCCCAAAGGATGCCCATGACCTGCTGCTCAGAGCAGAACCAAGGAACCCAGCAGTGGGTCCAGGTCCACCCTCACCCTGAGCATGCACTGCGCCCCTGCTGCTGCCTCAGCCTCTGGTTCCCCTTTGCACACCTTTGTCAATCTGACTGTCAATCATGGCCCCATTGCTGTGCCCCCCAGTGCTGTGGGATGTGCAGAGAAGGGTTTCCTTCTCCTTTCCATCCCACATCACAGTTGGGATCCCCCACCCTGACACGGTGAGGCAGGGTGGACGCAAAGCACTCACCCAGGATCTTGCTGATGCTGGAGTTGTGCATATCTGGGAACGCCTGCAAAATCTTCCTCCTCTCATCCTTCGCCCACACCATGAAGGCGTTCATGGGCCGTTTGATGTGGTTGTTGTTCCTGGACTCGGGGAAATGCCGCGTTCCTATGAGAGGGACCCCAAAGGCTGGCTCAGAGCACGAGGAAGAAGCAACGTGGCACTGCCCCCACGGCACCCACCGTCCCCATACCGTCCATCTCACAGCTCAGCAGAGTCTCATCCAGGCGGTGTGTGGGTGTCTCCTCCATCCGCTCCTTCACAGGGGAAGCATCGATGCCAACGTGGTCCTGCAGGAAGGGTGGATGGAGTCATCGTGGGGTGCAGTGATGGAGGGGTGGGGGGTCACTCTGGGTTCGGCTCACCTTGCGGTAAGGGTGGCTCAGTGCTCCCTCCATGGCACCGCTGTGGCCGTGCAGCAGCTGCCGTGCATCCTGGATGGCTTTGGTGATGGCATCGCCCTCGCCCAAGAATCCTGGTGGGAAACCAGCCCGGGGCACCCGTCAGCACCCCAAAATCCCATAATGCCTATCCCCAACCCAACAAAAAATGGGGCCGCGTGGCCCTGTGGGGCGGCACGGTGTACCCAGAGCACCCCAACAAGGTGAGACACCAAGGAGCAGAGCTGCCTGCCGCCTCTGGGAGGTGTTGTTGGGGAGGTTTTAGGATCCTCCACGGGTGGAGGTGATGGGAACCCACCCAAGGGCAGGTTGGACGGGCTGCTCTGCAGGTCTCGCACAGCCCCATGGCTCGGTGTGAGGGACTGGCAGCTGCTCATCTTCAAACTGGGTGAGCTGGAGGCACTGGGGAGCTCGGAGCCTTTGGGTTTGGCCGTCAAGTTCAGCGGCTGCGAGGTCTCCTGGGGCAGAAGGGAGGCAGGGTGTGATGTACAGCCCCCGGCACATCCAGGCGCAGGGGAACAGTGGGTGTTTTGGGGCTGTAGAGGCACTTTGGGGCCATACCTGCATCTGGAGGTGGCCAGAGCCGCTGGGTCTCTTTAACGTGGGAGGAGGAGGGCTGTGCAGCAGCTGCACGGGGTAATCCACTGCAGGGAACAGAGGAAGTGTTGGGGGACGAGGGCACCCCGCAGGCATCCATGTGCCCTGGGGACTCAGCTCACCTGGCTTGCAGGGGATGGGCTGGATGGGCAGCGCTATCTGGGGGTCCTGGGTCACAGGAAGGGGCTGATGGCTGGGGGTGAAGGCAGGGATCATGACGTAGGGCATGTTGACCTGCTGGAGGAAAGAGCACCACGGATAATGGTTGTGGGATGGCGTAGCTGGGCTGTGTCCCCGCTGTCTGGCTCTGCGGGTGGCTACAAGGGTGTCCCCCACCTTTACCTGGATCTGTTGCTGCAGCAGGTTGATTTTGTGCTGCTGCTGGATGAGCTGCTGCTGCTGCTTCGCAATCTGGAAGGAAGGAGACAGAGGGGCTGAGCAATGGGAACAGGGGCTCCTGAGCCCCCATGGGGCATGAGCTGCCCAAATCCAAAAGCGATGCTCCCAAGGGCATGGTGGCCTACTGTGGTTGGCACAGGAGATGTCTCAAGGGCCACAGGGACAGAAATGCACTAGGAGAGACCATCATCCATACACCGTGTGCCAGAGATGCCATCCCTGCACTTGGCACCGTTGGGTCACCCATACCCTGATGTCATCCCCACACTTAACACTATTAGGGATAAGAGGAATAAATCAGTGTTCAAAGAGCAAAGAAGAGGGCAGTCAGGAAGGGGCTCGTTAAGGACTTCCTATGATTCATCTTCAACATGTAGATAAGGAATGGAGAGCTTTGACCCTGAGCCACCCCATAGCAAGCAGCAGGATGGGAAGTCTTGGGATGGGCACAGAAACAGGGAAGGTTTCTGGGCAGATACCAAAGAGCTTCTTCCTACTTCTAGAGGGGTTCTGTCCCCTGCACCCCATCCCTCTGGTCTTGCCTCTGTAGTCAGAGGGTACCAAAGTGAGCCCTGAAGGGACACAGGTCTCCTGGAAGCCCACCTGCTCCTGCTGCTGCCGCGCCAGCTCCATCTGCTGCTGCTGCTTCTCAAAGAGCATTGCAGCCATGTTCTTCTGCTCTGAGTGGGCTGTCAGGAGCTGATCCCGCAGCGTGGACAGCTGGTTGATCATGACGAGCAGCTGGAGCTCTTTCTCTGCCAGGCTCTCCTGGGTTCCTGCATAGGGAAGAAGCAAAGTTGGGGGCTTGAGGAGCAGCATCACCACCACAGTGGGGGCTGTGGTCAGAGGGGTGTTCAAAAATCCCTCTGTGCCATCAGAGCAAGGTTTTATCAGGAAAGCCCAGTTCTGGGTAATGAGTATTTTGGGTAAAAACCTACAAATCTCCACAAAACATGACGCTGCAGACAACACCTCCCCTCCTATTGATGGGGGAACACAAAGCCATGCGGGCACCTGAGGGGGGCACAGAGCACCAAGGTGGCACAGAAGGGACCTCACCCTTCACTTCTTTGGTCTCAGCAGCATTTCGGCCCAGCAGCCTTTCCTTCCAGTCGCTGGAGAGTAATTTCTCAATGGTTGGCATCACTGTCCCCATCAGCAGGCACCGCAGTCAGCAGAGCAGAGTGGGGAGAGGAGAGCCAGGTGAGCACGGCCCGAAGCTCTGCACCGTGGCTCTTCCAATCCCAAATCTTCCCAAAAATAGAGAGGTCCCAGAAACCTTTCTTACCCTCTTTTAAGTTTCTGTTGAAGTCCAGCTTCTCCTGGCTGCCGACAGCCGGCTCGAAAGCTGAGCACCGCGGCTCCAACGCATCACCAGCGGGTGAGCAGGACTCCTGCACACACAGAGCATCACTCGGTGGAGAACCCGTGGACAGGGACATCTACATGTCTCCAAGCAGGAGACACCAAGCTGATGGGGTGCTCAGAGCAAACGGGTTGCTTGGAACTGATGGGATGTTTGGAGCTGATGAGATGCTCAGTGACATCCTGGACCACGTGCTCCTGCAGCACTTCCCCAGCTTGAAAGCATCCCAATGACCAAGCCCTGCTTTGCAGGAGGTTGCTGTCATTTCTTTGGATTGCCCTGCTTCTCCAAGACCAGGGACTGAGAATATTGGGCAGAGAGAGAGGAAGCTCGAGAGCAATTAAAACAGGAAAATAACAGAGTGGCCCTGGTCCTGCATGCGGGGACAGTGGAAGATGTCTGCAGGTGGCCCTGGAGAGCTGAGCGCCAAAAGCTAATCCCAGGGCTGAGCTGAGAGCACTGACAGCAGCCAAAAAACCTGAGGGGAACCTCAGGTTTCAGCTTGGTTTCCTCAGGATGAGGAATAAAAGCTCAGGGAAATGACAACCTCTGTCTGCCTGGGGTGGGATGCAGTGCACTGCCAACCCAAAGGGACCAGGGTTCGGTCAAGGCCAGGAGCAGAGGCGGTCACAGTGATGGGACCCACCTGTGGCAATGCCTGGGGGTCTGTGCCCTCTCTTGGTGGTGGTCCCGGGGGGTCGTTGGGATGGGGCTCAGTGCTGGGGGCAGCCCCCGGTGGGCTCTCGTAGCCACTCTCCTTCTTCTCCTCCGTCTTGATGCTGCAGTTCACCATGCTGCCCGCCCCATCGAGCTCCAGGTGGGGAGAAACGGGGCTCCTCATGGACATCCTGCAGAACAGCAGGGCTGTTAGCAGAGAGATGGGGGTCTCCCCTCCTCCCCACACATCAGAGGCACCCCTTTGCCCAGCCTTGCCCTGTGCTGGTGGTGAAGCTGAGCCCTGCGTACCCCTAAGGGCTCTCCATGACCAGCCCCCAGCGGGGCACCACGGGGCACAGAAATGTCCTAAGGGCATCCAGTGGGGCACCAAGCATGGCCAGAACCAGTTTTATTCCCATAGGATGTGCCCTAAGCAATGTGCCACAGCCACGTCCCCTACACAGCCCCAGCTTGGCACAGTTTGTGTCCCCAAATGGGACAAGCTGGGATCCCGCTGCAAACTCCCAGCAGGAATTTCCCCCAGCCCCCGGACCACCAGCCCTCACAACACACAGCAACAACAGCACCAAATGCCCCCTCCCCATCTTCACCTTTCAGGGTGGAATAATAGGGGAAGGAGACCATCAGGGATGGGATTTACACTGGGATGAAGGGCACGGGGGCCACAGTGTGCACCCTGCAGCAGGGACCCCCCAGCCCTGCACCCATCAGGGGGTCCTGCCTGCACCCCACCATCCGGGGGCCCCCAGGACAGGACCGGGCTGCACCATCGGGGCAGCGGTGACACAACAAACAAAGCCCGGCTCAAGCTGCGAATTAATCAAACTGCTGAAAATAAAACCTTCCTCTCAGGAACTTCAAACAAAAGAAACGAAAACAACAAGGCCGGCTGGGTAATGAAAAGCCAGGGCTCTGAATAGGGGACAAAAGGAAGTGGAACAATAGGGTGTTGGACAAAAGCAATAAAGTAAAGGGAAGTGTGACAGCTCAACAATGGGGCACTGTGTGCGCCAGAGTTTCTGATCTTAGCAGGGCTTTTTTTAATCTCAGTTCCCTGCCCTTCTCTGAACAAACCCACCGTGCTCTCCGGGCTCTGGGTTTCCTCCCAGCTCCAGCCCTGCACGGTATCTGCCCGCATCCTGCAGCACCGCCCGCTCCCCTTTCCTGCCCCCTGCCCACCTCGGGGGGCAGCCCGGCAATGAGTCCATCCTCTCTCCCGCCCCCCCCGGGATCGATGCTCATAAAAACACCCCGAGGGATGGGGAGGAAATGGGCGCTGCTGGCAGCAGGACCGAGCCGGCGTGCAGCCAGCGGGATGCTGCGCTCAGTGTGCTGTGTGCATCCAGGTGCCCCGCGGTCTCCCAAAGCCTGAAGTGCTGCAGGTGGGGAAAAATGAGGCAGCAAAGCACAGCCCCGGGTGCTTTTGTGGCTCAGGAGTTGGTGAAGGAGTAAAGAGAGGAGTTTGGGTGCTGAGTGCTGCTCTGCGTGCAACAGCAACAAGCTGAGCTCGGTATGGGAGAGGAGAAGCAAGGTTGATGCTCCTTCCATCCCTTCTGAAGGCACAAAGCCCCGCTCCATGCGTTCCTGCCATCATTTCCCCTCCCTCCCTCCAGCAGGGATGCAGTCAGCCCAAGGATGCCCACACAGTGCTCAGCACAGAGCAATGCACTCGGTCAGGTCACCTTCCCACTGTGCTTCACCTCCCGGTGCCACTGGAAGTTTACTCTTAAAATACAGCCGGTGCTTTAATAGGGGTCCGTGTGAAAGGGGCCTCATTGTGGGATTATTATACGGTTTGCTGAACAAAAAAAAATGTTAAAAAAAGGGAGAAGAAAAAGGAGAAAAGTGAGTGGTGATCTTGTTACAAGGCTTGTTCCCATAGCAGGGCCGTGCTGGCTGTCTCAGGTGTGCTCAGCTCAAGGGCTCCTCTGTTGCACAGACAATAGGGCCGGGAACAATTGCCTTGGCACAGGGAATACATCTTCATGTAAGAGATCTTTGCCTTTAATGTTTGCTATTTAATGAAGGGCGGAGGGGAATGGAGCGAACAGAGCACGGATGAGCAGTGCCAGCCTGGAGAGCCACAGCGAACAGCGCAAGCACGGGGACAAGGTGTACCCAAAGATCAGCACGAATGGGGCTTCTTTGCAAAGCCCTACGGCTGCCACCCCAGCACACATCGCTTTGCTCACCTTACCTGCAACCAGGCTGCCCCAGCTAAAGCCCAGAGCTGAGGTTTGGGGATGGCGACAGCCGGCTTTTCCTTCTCCATTCGTACCCCTCAATGGCACATCCTGCAATTCTCCCCTTGTGCTGTGCCACCCTTCCTGGCTAGGAGCTGATCCTATCTGCCCCATTTGTGTCACAGCCGAACAGCTCGTTAGGGCAGGGGCAGAGCCAACAACAGCCTGGCACCATGGATGATGCCAATGTGCCTCTTGCCGAGCCCCCCCCCCCCGGACCCTTTAGAGCATCCCCTCACCGGTCTCCAGCATTGCAGAACACAGCACTCACCTCTGCACAGCAGCAAGGAGGAAAAACGCCAGCAGAGATGCGCTGCAGGCTGCACCAGGCTCAGAACTGAGGGTTCCTGCTCCTCAGTCCAGGGCAATTCCACCCCATGGGATGGCAGCACTGAGGGATCCCACAAAGTGGGACACGGGAGAGCATCCCAGCAGCTGATGGAGTGAGTTGGGTTGCCTGGCTTTTAGGATCAGCTCCATCTGCCCATCACCAAACGCACCAGCGAAGCCAAGAGGCCGTCGGCTTTTTGCTTTTCCTTTTTCCACACAGAAAAATATCAGTTCATAGATTCCCTTCCACCTCCCCACACACGCAGCAAGCCAGGGGAAAAGCACCAAACGTAGCCAAACACAAAATCCAACAGGGGAAAACACCACACAGCACAGAGCAGCGGGAAAGCACCGCAGGCACAAGCTGCGAGCACCCCCAGGAGAGAGAGCAGGGGGAAAAATAAACCACACACAGGTTCTCTCCTTCCAAGCAGGGCTCAAGGAATCCCTCCGGTCACCGGCACAGACAATAGCCCGTCTCCTGCCAGACGAGAGGACTGCTTTCCTGCCAGACTTGGAATGTCCTTTCGGGGCCCTTTCCAAGCGTTTCCGCCCAGCGTGCCTTCGCACATAAAAGGAGGGATGGTTTCCTCCTGCCACGGCCACTGCGTGCCTGGGGGGGTGGCTGAGGTGAGGGACACAGCTGGGAACTTCACGAGGTTGCCATCCCATGGGGACACAGGGACAGCGGGGTGCATGGCAGGGAGAGGGCAGCACTTCCTACACTGGGATCGGGGCTCTGGTGTGCGTAAAAATAGAGGGTCATGGGGTCAAGTCTCACCTTTTTGAGCTCGCGAGGGATTGCAGCCAACCTCTGGCACTCCACACTAAGGCATATCTGCTGTCCCCAGCGCTGTGCTGTCACTAGCAGGAGGAAATGGTGACCTTTGGGGATGTAGCAGAGCTGGAAGTGCAGCCCGTGTGGCTCCCGGCCAAGCAGGAATCAGCACAGAGCCATTCACAAACACCCAACAGCTGAGGATTCATGCCCAGAAACGCCCAGTGTAGGACCATGAAAAAGCAGGTTTTAAGCCCAAGATACACCCGGATGTCGGGATACTGAAGTCACCCAGAAGCCACGGATGGCTGAAGCCATCCTGCTGCAGAGCTGCCATCACCTCATGGCAGCCACAGCTCCACGTGTCCCCGCCAAGCCAGGCAGAGCCGCAGCGGAAACGCTCAGCGCTGGGGCGAGCCGACGCTTTGCACATCCTCTGCAACACCTCACCTGCAGAAAGCCCCAACCTCTGCCTTCCCAGCATGCTGCCAAGTGCTGGCGTTGCTGAAAAGCTGCAACATCAGTACTGAAAAGGGAGAGATTTGGAAAGCATTGCTCTCGGTTCATTTCGGCAGAACTCTGGGGGCTTGCAGGCAAAACCACAGCTCCAACGACAGCTGGGATTTCCCAGTGCCCACACGGAACATGGTGCTCTTTGTCTGTTGCCCAAAGGCTCCCCGTGGCTCTGACTGGGGGGTTGATGGCCTCCGGAAACGTCCCTGTGGGCTCAGAGCGCAGCGGTGACACCAAGGTGACAGAATTGGCATCATGGAAACTCCTGGCAATGGGCACGCAGGGGAGGTCACCCCTCCGTGTGCCACCCCAGCACCTGCTGCCACCCACATCCCCTCCACTCCCAGTCTAGTCAAGCCTGGGACCCATATCTCACAGGGAGGAGGATTCCCCCCTTTGCTTCTAGAGGCCGTGCTCGGCTCTCCAGCACTGCCAGGCTGGGGCTCTCGGTGGGGTGGAGCAGCAATTCTGCATCGCTCAAGTGGAGCGTAGAAATGCGTGGCTCCTGTTGCTGCACAGCTCCTGTTGCTGCACAGCCCGTGGAAGCTTTAACCCTAAAGCAAGAGGACATCCTGGAGAAGCAGAGTGGAGCTATGGGATGCTCAGTGTGGGGACGGGACAGCAAAGCCCCCCATGATAACAATGAGAGGTGAACGCCGTGTGCTGCCATTCCTGGCACATGGGTCCCTTTGGCACAGCCTGCAGAGGTCCCAACCACATCACATCCCTGGGTTCTTGGTGGCCCTTTTTACTCACAATTTCCAGCTGGTTGTGAATTCTGCTCTCACAGGGCTTCCTAAGCTGCTCCTTACCACGCTGCTCTGGTTGCATACAAGATGGCAGAGGGCCACATCACCGCCACGAGGTGCCTTCCTGCCTCCCCCCTCTCCAGTACAGGGGCTCAGCCGGGACCTCCCCCTGCTGCCAGCACCCCACATCCAGATGGGGGCAATGAGCCTCACAGCACAGCTCTGGAGGCATTAAATCACATCCAATGTACCCATATTCACCCCAAAGATGTAACACATGCACTACGCGCTTGGCAGCAGCACAGGAGCCAAACAAATAACCCAAAGCAACACCAAGAGCCTTCCCAGGGCATCAACTGGTGCAGGTCCACAGCAATGCTTCCAGCATTGGTTTCTTTGATGGGACGAGCAACATGATGCTTTAATTAGGGGAAAAATCAAAATGACCATCAGGTGGACCTTCGGGACCACAGGATTTATTGGGTGGGGAACGACCTCATTGGCACGTTGGAATTATTGAAGACCCACCGAGGAACGGGCACAGGGAGTGGACCCAGGCAATGGGAGATGTGGTCCTTCCCCCTTCCCAGCCTCAGAATCTGCCAGGATTTCTTTCTTTTTTTTCTTTTGGTTGTTGTTTTTTCCCCTTTCCCTTTTGGTATCACTAAGGGGAAAGCGCTGCGCACCGCCAGCTCTGCAGCCGGATGGCTTCACTGCCCAGGTTGCATTTGGAAACATCTTTAGAGATGGGTCTGGAAGCACCCAGATGGGAACCAGGACACAGCAGGGACATGGGCAGCACGGGGACAAGGCGACACTGAGGTTGGGTGACTCCCTGTTCCCATGTGCTGGGCAGGGAGCAAACAGCACTGAGCATCCCCTCGACTCCTCACCCGCTCCGCACAGCGCGGCAGGAAGCCGTGCAGCCATGCACAGCATTGCTTTGCACGCCGGCCACTCAAAGCGTTCTCATTTGCACGTCTTCAAGAGTTTTTTCACCTCTGCAGGTCTCTAAATACCACAGCAAAAAGAACAAGCCCCCACAGCTGTAATATTTTCCAAGTCCCCCTTCCTACTGCGCCTCTTTTCTTCTTTTAAATACTTTTTGATGCAAAATCTTGTCATTCATGGAAGGCTTTGGATGGGTGGTAGAGGGGAACGGCCACAAGACCCAGAAGGTTCTGCAGGTGCTGAGCACCCAGGGGTGGTCGGATCAGGACCTCAAGGGGTCCTCAGGCCCTTCCCTGACCCTGGAGCCCTCTGGGCTCCTCCACCCTCCCCCCAGCCGTCCACAGAGCGCTCAGCTGCCCACCCTCTGCCCCTTGTAATGCAATCGATTTGCAAAGGAAGAGCAAATAAAGGAAACCTTTCCCATAACGGAGATGAGGACGGGGACGACTCACCCGGCACGGCGATGCCGGAGCGCACGGAGCTCCGTCTCTGTCCCCTTTGTTGCAGTTTCTGCCTTCTCCTCACCCCCAAAGCAGCCCTCGGGTTTATCGCAGAGGCCGATCTCGGTGCAGGTTTGGTGCTGTTTCACTCACTCAGCGTTTCCAGGCAGAGTTTGTTCACAAACAATACTTTCCAATCGCATGACGGAGGGGCGAAGACATTTGACCCCTTTCCTCTCCCGCTCCTCAACAAGAAGGAGCTCAGCTCAGCCAGGCTCAGCCCAAGCACTTGGGGACTAAAGGATGGGATGGAGCACAACACTTCCCAAAGCATGAACCTCCCTCTCCCAGCCCTTGCTGAGCACCTCGTGCCATTCTACACCTTCCATCAGTGGCACTTTTTTCCAGTTGCCCCCCAAGCTTTGAGATTTTTTGGGGAGCCCCTCTTTGGGAGACTCAACTTTGGGAGATCTTTGGGGGTTTCTCTCTGGGGGCTCTTCTTTGGGGGAACTCCTCTTCGGAGGTCTCTTTTCTGGAGGGTACCCAACTTTGGGGGGTTTTTCTTTGAGGTTTCCTCATTGGGGTTTCTTCTTTGGGAGCTCCTCTTTGGAGGCCTCAATTTTGGGGGCTTCTCTTCGGGATCTCTTTTTTAGGGGACTCAACTTCGGGGGCTCCTATCCGGGGGGCTTCTCTCTGGGAGCTCCTCTCTCTTGGGGCGGCTTCTCTTTGGGGTCTCCTCTTTGGGGCTCCCATCTGATGGTATTCTGGTGTTTCCAGGCTCACATACATGTACCCAAAGCAGCTCAGGGGCCCCTTGAAGACAACACCAAACCCCAAACCCCACAGCCACACGCTTCCGCCCGTGCCAGCTCTGCTCTCCGAAACCCACATCGCCCCAGAAACCATCGGCTTCACCTTGTATGGGTTTGTAACAGCAGCAAACAGCCCCATGCACCCAAACTGCTGCTTGGCCACAGGGGCACAAAGGCTCTATCAATGGAACTCAAGGGAACCGGGGGAACTCCACCCCCTCCAGCTGCCAGGGGGGCTTGGGGAAGGGGTGACGGCCACCTCCCAGCTGCTGGGGCCGTTTGACATTTCAACAACAGATTTTTGCTGGTGTGACAGGAGCTGATGGCACCACGGGCAGCTTCCTTTGGAAAGCAGAGGGAACCTGGATCTCAGCAATCACAGCCAGGTGGGTCGGGATGGAGATCCCCAAGGAAAACACTCTCAGCTGGATTTCTCTCCCTTATCACCATGAGCTCCCTTCTTACTGATCTATGGGGCAGATCTGAGATCCCGTGCTAAGAACTCAGTGAGGAGCTCGTTCCTCATTGCCCTGCACCCCTCCAGCAGAGTCCCTCCCAGCACAGGGAGGTCACCCCAAGCCCAGTGCTGGGACTGTTTATGGGACAGACCCCTCTGAGCAACGACACCGCATCGCACCCCCAACCACCGCGCACAGTCAGGTTTACTTCTTTCCCTCCCCTGCTCATTTCAGAGGAGATCACAGACCATGAAAACCGTGCAGAGAGATGTGGGGACAAGCTCCTACTGGCCCGCCAGGATTATTTTCATTGCACAAGGGGCGCAGACTCTCCAGCAAGCTGCAGACAGCCCTCCCTGCTGCCATGGGGTGTCCGATTGCCCCTGACCACCCCCATGTCCTGCAGCACACAAGGGGCTCTTTGTGCCCAAGCAGCCACAGTGGCACCTGTCCCCCTCTGTGTCCCCACATCCCCTCAGGTCCTCAATCCCCCTGCAGCAAAGGGCTTTAAGTGCCCAGCTGGCTCCTGCGTGGCTGAGCAGGGCTGAGGGAAAGCACAGTTGCTCTGTGCACAAGCATTTGCAATCCCTGCTGCTTTGCACGCTGCTTTTTGCCATAGGGGTGCATGAGCCTGCTGTGGGCTCCTCTGGGCTCTGCCCACCTGGTGGCTGCACCTGGGAGAGCCACCATCCCATAACCAGCACCAAGCAACCCTCCCCTGCAAAAGCACGCTTTCCTCAGCTCAGTTCCCAGGATGAACCCACAAACCTGGTGCAACACAGCAAGAAGAGCTGGGCAGAGGAAGCCCAAGAGCAGGTGCTGCAGGTGAAGACCACTGCCCGAGAGCCCCCAGGAAAGGCAAACATTGCCCTCTTTCTGCCCACGCTGCAGCCTGTGGGGATACAGAGGGGTCTCACAGCTGCACAGGCACAAAGTGCCCCTGGGACCCCCCCCCCACAAACCCTCCCGAAGTCCTCTCCCCAGCGCCTGTATCATGCGCAGCAAGAAAGGTGAGCAGGAAAGCTCCAGAGCTTCATCCACTGGGGAATTCACCTGCAGAGCCCCAGGGGCTGGGGATGTCCATGTCCGGGTTCGTGTCCTCTCTGCCAGCAAAGCCCCACGCAGAGCAGCCTCACAGGCGGCTCCGTGCAGCCCCTGCCCCAGGGGACTCGCTTTCCGGCTGGGCGTGCAAGGTAGAACAATGGGGCCGAGCCCTCTATTGTTCCAGACAAAAGATAAGCCGGGCTCTGGCATTCCCCAACCGGAGGGCAGGGACTGGCCGAGCCCTTCCCTGCCCCGGGCTCCATGGGGACAGGTGGAGAGGGGCTGCAGGAGGTTCTGCCCCTGCGCAGCCCCCAGCTCACACCTCCACAGACACGCACACACACACGTGCACACCCTTGCACACACGCTCCATCCCACAGCCCTGCAGGCTTTGCCCCAGCTCTGCATTTGGCTTTGCTCCCCCTTTTCTTCAGCCTCACGTCCCCACGTGTCCCCATCATCCAGCTTCGCACCCAGCACCTCGCCAGCCTCCTTCCAGCCCTTGGTCCCATTCTTTCCTCTCCTTGAGCTGTTGTTCCTCTTCTCCGGGACCACTTTATGGGAAGGATGAGTGCTGCTAACCGCACACAGCACACGGCACAGCAGCCTCAATGCACCCCACAGGCAATGGGGCAGTGCAGCAGGGATGGGGGCTGCCCAGTGGAACTGCTTGGGGCCCCCCAGCCGTGCCCATGCAGCCCAACCCATCACCCACACCTTCACTTTTTCTGTGCTTTCACAGAACAAGGCTACCAACGCTCCCATACAAGAGAGGAAGAGCATGGAGAGCTGCATGCTGCACCCACGGGGCACCCAAACAGCAGCAGAAGGTGACAGCCCAGGGCTGGTAATTGCTCATTAAACATGGAATGTGTCCAGGCTGACCCTCTCCATGCCAGGGAACAGCACCGCTGTTGCGCAGTGCTGGCAATGCCTGCAGGCATTTCTCTGCCCGTTTCTACCCCTTTGCTTCTTTCCAGACTCCAGCCCAGCCCTCAGTAACTCCATTTCTCAAGGGCAAAGAGGACCAAATACCCCTCTGCTACCCCACACCCTTTGAATTCTCTTTGCCATACATCTCCTCCCAGCAGAAAACCAACTGCCGTCAGCCCCCTTCACCAGCCAGAACGAAGAAACAATGCCTCAGAACATCAGATCTCAGCCAGGGCCACCCAAAATGCTGCTGGAAGGATGAGCCCCATTACCTTGTTCCTCTGTGATGAGGCAGCTGGGGTGGTGGGGCTGAGCTCCACTTCCAGCACGTGCTCAGGACTCGCATCAGTGCTTTGTGGGATCCCATTTGGCCGCTGCATTTCCCCTCGTTCCTTTTCTCCCTGACCCATCCCAGCAGCCTCAACACCAACCAGCAGTGCCCCCTGCATCTCCCCAGTGCCAAAGCGACAGCACCGGCCACACCAAGTGCCCTTGTTTGGGACTGGAGCACATCCAGCATTGGACATATGGCCCCGGAGCAGGTGGGGTGGTAGAAGAGAGGGGGGAAGGGAGAGCTTCCAACTGCAGAACCATTTCCAAAAGTCGGTGCCTTTGCCATCGCTCCTCCTGCTGGGAGCGGCCGGGCTGAGGGAGCCCCATGCTGAGCATAGGGCACAGCCCGAGGGAGAGGGTTTGGCTCTGAAATATTCTCCAAAAGGCACAGGATGGGGGGAAGGCACCGACCGCTTTCCCAGCAGCACTGTCACAGGCCGCCCTAATTTATTTCCCTTTTGTCTGTTTTGTGCTGTGCAAAAAACTGGGTGGAAATGGGGTGATGCATCGCGGCAAACTTTTGAAGCAGCCCAAATCTTCCCCCTCCCCCCTCCTCCACGCAGCACAATGAGACCCAAACCTCCAAAGCTGGTGAGAAACCAACAGCAGAGCTGGGGACGTCCCAGAGCTGTAGGGGCACCACGGGGCTGCAGACCCCCAGGGCTGAGTCCCCATCAGACCACGGCCAGACGCAGCTGCTGCTGGATGCACAGAAAGAGGCAGCTCACACTGCTGTTTTCTAGCAGAGAACAAACAAATTTCACCAACACTTTGCAGTGATGCTCCGCTCAGCACACAGCCAAACCAGAACAGAACAAAAGAATCCAATGGGTTTTCCCCATGCTGTTGTCCAGAGCTGTAGGGAGTCACTGCCCTGCCCAGGAGTGGGGGTTTGTTTTGCTTTCAATACACAGTTTGTAGCAAAATAAACGTGATGCATTTTAGCAGCACAGCGGAGCGCTTGGGGTGTAAAAGCAGAGCAGAGCTGTAGTGATACGCGTTGAAGGCTGTCCATCTGGTGAGAAAGGCTTTTCTGCTCTGCAATCACACGCACAAAGCAGCTCCAATCCTAAGTGTTCACAATGGGATGGGGCTGAGCAAGCAGGAGTGCAGCATGGTGCCGGACAGACAAAGCTGGGCGCACATCGGGTGGCGTGCCCTGGGTCCGTGGGGAGGGACAGCCAACAGCAGAGCCAAACTGCATCAAAATCCTTCTGAGTTTGTTGGGTTTTGTTTCAAGGGATCGCCGAGCTGCCTTGGCTCCATGGCCATCCAAGCACCCCACGTCCTGCACCCCACAGACCAC